AATTATCAACAAACAATTTTATTCGTGTTTCACAGAAATTGTAGTGAATTATTAGATTGTTACAAACAAAGTATATATGACAAACATTTACTTAAAAAATTTCAAACAATGAATGTATATTATAACTGTTCGCAACCTTTCTTCAAACAAATTGATTCATATAACATTTTAAATCAAGTGTCATTTAAAATAGAACAAATTTTGTGAACAATCGTTTTTAATGTGTCGAACAAATGCATGAATCAATTAAATTCAAGCAAATAAATTGTTAGTTGAATAAATTGAGGAATGAATATTTGTGACAATGAAAAGTAAAACGGCGTTCCATATATTTATGATGTTTCTTTTGGTAATCATGAAATCATTGTTATGAAATATATTGATCAGTTTCAGTGCTGATTTTTGAAAAGTGCATTATTCTGCTCAGCGCTTCGCTTGTTTTTTGACATTTTGAATGAATTTTGAACGAGAATTTAAAACAACTCAGATAATCTTTTGTTTTGTATACAGAATAATCTCCATTTTGTTGGAATGATGGGAATGAACGTTCATGAATCTATTACTGAATATAGGTTTTCTGTACCATTGACTTGCAGTCCAATCAATTTCATATCTGAGAAAAAAAAGAAGTTATTGATTTATTTCTAGATGGTGAATCGAATGGTTCGATCGTANGTAAGAACTGAATATAATAAAAACTCATCTTTGCCGTTTGAAAGTACTGTTGAAATGAAAATATCTACAAAACTTTTGGTGAATGAAATTTCAAAGTACATTCATGAAGTAGCTCATCCTGAACATAACCAGATAAAATAGGATATATTTTGGATCCCATTGGGGTACAAAATATATTATAACTTCTTTCACCAATTTTAAAATAATTTGAATCCAAAATAAAGTCTAAAATTTCCATGAATGCAACCCTTGATATGTGAATTGGTTAAGATAAAAACATCTGTCAGAGTTTGTTTTCTGAAGAATCAATAGAAGATACGATAGGTCCCATAAATAGTGTTGGTTTGTGAACCTTGTAAAAACATTTACTAACCTGCATTATGGTGCCAGGTTTACTGAGAACATAATAAATGACATATAATGGTACCCAAAACATTGACGAAAAGCTAATACCCAATCCAATCCAATCGGACCATAATGGATATTGATATTTACCATACGATAACGATTTGTACTCAAAACATTGGCTTATGAATATTACCTGAAATAAAAAAGCAAATATGAGTTATAGATACGTGAATACTTTGATATCAGCTTACTCCTATACTGATCGGTGCCAAATATTTCCAACACAATATTAAAAATTTGTTGGGCTTCATCCCCATCATTTGATCGATACAGTCACTGAGTTTGTCGATTCCAAATATCCAAGATATTGCTATCGTCTGGAAAAAACATACCCAAAGCAGTGACATCCCACTGGCCGAATAGGCATCCATCAACTGAAAAATGTACATACCGCCCTGGAAAAAAATTGAACTGAAAACACAGACAATTACTATTCAGAAATAAATATTATTTTTTAGTTTGTAGAAAAGTTCAAATGTTGGGATTAAAGCTTTTTAACTTTCACTCCTCTCGTCATTCCATTTGGATTCCAGGACATCTGCTGCGGATGCACATCTGCACCGACAGCAGGAGGTTGCATATCGTAATGAAGATCTAGAAGTGATTTCGAATCGGGGGTGGAAGTGACTACAAAAAACCAGGCATTGGTTTTCTCCAAAAAGATTGACAGGACAGACAATTCCGCTTTCTTCTTCGATAAGTTTGTTGGGGGTTGAAATAGGCACCAATATGTCTTGGCACAATCATGTCGCCGAAGGCTGCTTCTCAGAAGCTTACAACTCCCTTCCGAACTGTACACACCTCAGAAACTTTTGATGTTTCATAAAGCTCAGATCAGACGTTCTATAAAGTATTGTTCTCATGGATGGAGCTCCGCCTGGAAACATACCCTACAGCTGCTGGATGCTATAAAGAAAAGAACCATCCACCGGATTGGAGACACGAACATCACTTGCAACATAAATAGCTTATCTTCGAAGCTAAAATCTCCGGATCAAAATTTCACAAACTAACATCGAACAGTACGTACATTAATAGTATCATTGCCAAATTCCTAGATAATTTTCCTGGCTGTTTTGGTAGCCCTTTAGTTCAACTTGTATTCGTAGAGAAAAATGGCCAAAAATCGCTCAACGACATCATATGGTGATGAACTGAAAGGAGGCGAAACATTGAAATTTGGGGAAATAATTAACATCAATGTACACAGTACACAATTCTCTATCAATCGGTATATACTAAGACAGAGTAGAATAAATATTTATTAAGATATGAAGCTACCAAAACACATTACATTGAAATGGACAAAACTTTTGAAACAATCAATAAAATTTTACTAACTGAAATATTATGACGACTAAAACAATCGGTATTCAAAATAACAAGCTGTTATCATTATGAATGTCATTAATTGGCACAATTAATAATAATGATTGTTTTCATTGACAGAAACACAAATTATATAAATATCTCCAGAGACTTCGAAAACATTACCAGTGGTTATTAAAGAAAACAGTAATTGTTATTACTCTTAATAATATGAAATACCCGTATTATGTTTTTCGTACATTCTTTCCGTGTTATTCAATTATCATGCATTTGCATCCACCGTTTAATTTTTCCATAATGAAAATTGGATCACTTACATTTGAAACCATAGGAATTCCTAGGAGAAACATCACCATGCAGACAACGACGGTAAATGTATTTCTGTATGGCCTTAACTGCTGCGACCAATTGTCCACAATTCCAGTTATGAAAGACTCAACCAGGCAGAATTCACTGTCTATTCCCAAGATCTGTGAAATAAAAGTTGGAAACGTAATGGCTCGTTTCGTCTCATTTTCTATCAAATTCAGCAAAGAATTCCATGTGAATAAAAAAAAACGATTGATATTGAAATTCAGATATGAACAGAGTGGATCGAAAAATTTCAATTAATAAATAAAAAAAAATTCCGACTGATTGGTCATTATTTCACAGGTTTCCAGTCATTGACGACTGGAGATCAAAGACGACTACTAGATCAGTTTGGAAATGCTGTGAAAAACAGAATGTTCTGAGTGACAGGAATATATTGACTCTATACTGGATGCCAGAAATTTCAGAAATTTAAGGCAGTCATCAACTCCATATATGGGCCTGAAATCTATTGAGTCTGGCCCTGATGAAGTGGCCGTCATCGTAATTAAAAAATGCGCAAATGAACTCGCACCAGTATTTTGCAGACTTTTCAAGCTATCTTAAAAAAGGGGTTTTTCCTTCTTTTTGGGAGATTGTTTGTTCGCGTTCAACCCATTTCCAAGAAGGGCAAGAAAAATCTCCCGAATAACTATAGACCAGTCGCTTTGCTATCAGTCATATCAAAAATCATGGAGAAAGTTATCAATCACAATATCAATCACAATATCGATATATCAAAAATCATGGAGAAAGTTATCAATCATAATATCCTCAAATATTTGAAAGGCTTCAATATCTTGAGCGATCATCATTATGACTTCCGGAAACGAAGATCAACAGACGACTTTCTATCGTATGTCACCCGTATTCGGAATAACGCAATCGGGAAACACGGAAAATCAAGAGCTGTTGTGCTTGATATTTCTAAGGCGTTTGACCTTGTGTGGCATGAGGGTTTGCTGGCCAAACTTCGATACTATGGCTTGTCTTATCATTTTTGTATATGGCTCTTCAGCTTCCTGAAAGAACGTTCCCTGCAAGTAGCCGTCGATGGATATCTTCCGAATACTTTCATCATCAACGCTGGTGTTCCACCAACCCCTTTTTTTATTGTATATCAACGACTCATTGGAAAAAACGAGAATCCAATCTAATTGCTCGGCTGACGACAGCAAACTTGTCACGTCATTCCACTTGGATTTCAGGACATCGGCTACGGAGGCACATCTTCACCGGTAGCAGGAGGTTGCATATCTTAATGAGGATCTAGAAGTGATTTCGAATTGGGGTGAAAGTAACGAGGTTGATTACAATGCCACAAAATTCGGATACAATAATGTAAGATCAGAGAATTTCGCTTTCTGCTTCAACGAGTTTGTTGGGGGTTAAAATGGACACCAATATGTCTTGGTACAATCATATCACTGAAATTGCAAAGGCCGCTCCTCAAAAGCTTGGAACACTATTCAGAACCAGAAAACTGTACACACCTCAACAACTTTTGATGCTTTATAAAGCTAAGATCAGACCTTTTTCGGGTTATTGTCCTCATGTACGGAGCTCTGCCCCTAAACATAACATGAAGTTGGTGGATTCCATCCAGAAAAAAGCAATCCGCCTGATTGGAGACGCGAACATCACGTGCAACCTTGATAGCCTGGAACATCGAAGAAAGGTTGGAGATTTATCTCTCTTCTATAGATACTTTCACGGGAGGTGTTCAAATGACTTGGCACATTCGATTCCTCTCAGAACGGTACCTATCAGAAATACGCGACGGACTGTGGCTGCTCATCTTTTCGAAGTTCAACTCAGTACACCTCCAACTTCAATGTTTGAGAACTCTTCCATCTGCGGAACTGCGTTTATGTGGAATAAACTTCCTCATAATGTTTTTCCAAATGAATTTAATTTCTAGCGATTCAAATCTAATGTGAATCGCTACTTTCACACAGGTACTGCTCTAGGAGCGCCTTTAGGATTCTTCTGTAAAAAAGAGTACTTTAGTAGATTTGAGGAATACTGAATGAGAGTGAACTCATTCTTACCATATAAGTCGCCGAAACCGTATGACATTCTTACAGTAATGCTGAAAAAGACCGCAACTTCCGCTTCCAGAACTGTGTGTGATCTTCAGATAGCATTTCGCTCCCGGATACATACCCAAAACATGAATAGGCCTATGTACCAAAACTTGGAAAAGTCGGGCAGAATTTGGTGAAGTCTTCGACACCGATCAATCTCAGGCCATTAGTATTACAAACATAATGACAATATTTGAGTCATATCAAGGACATAGTATGTGCTTTCAGACAGGTATGTCAATGGGCATGGCTTTATGTAGGGTCACGAAAAAATCAGAATATATTTTCAAAAACTTTCAGCTAATCCTTGAGCACACATTTTGAGAAGTTTCCTCAAAAGTACTTACCAGAAGCATGATGAAGAATAAAGTAGCCCAGAATGGCGAACCTGGTAATTTTAAAACGACCTGGGGGTAGGTTAGAAATACTAAACCAGGTCCACTTTTTACCACGTCTCCTACATCGGAATTTTGTTCAAATGCCAGATGTCCCAATATCGAAAATGTAACGATCCCAGCTATTACAGAAGTTAATGTGTTCACCACACATGTTATAATAGCATCCCTGAAAACAAAACCCAACCAGTTAACTAATTACATCAAAAGTTTTTGAAATTAGTGTAAATGAAAAATGAACTTGATATGTATTCATGTACAATCAAGTTCCTGAGTGAAGAATGTACTGAGTGATTGTTCCACAAATAAATGAACGACAAGTATTTTATGAAGAAAAAATACACCAATCAAATTCTTGTCAATTGTTGTCAATGACAAATGACCTGATTCACACTTGGTGAGCACACTCAGTAATTTACACTTCTTATGTTATGATGATTTTTCGAAGAAATGAATTCACCAGTTTCGATTGCAAAAATTCGTTAAACATAGTGAAACCGTTTCACTCTTTGGCCTATATTATTTTTGTCATCCATTATGACTAGACACAGCCGCTGTCAAATCAACTGTCAAGAAAACACGATACCATTAACGACACACTCGAATACATACATTACATATTTGTTTCTATGGAATGACTATCTTCATTTAGTAGACTCGCTTAATTTTCATTATCATCTCGAGACACTCTGGAAACATCGACAAATAAAATTCCTAACCTAGATTTGGACGCAACAAATCCAGATTGGAATGTAACTTCAAATATGGAACTGGAACAAATTTAATTAGACAATTTTGTAGTTATGGTCATACTGCCACATTTACAAATTATGGGAAATGTCTAGTAAACAAATCTTGTGAAATGGGCTCTGTTCCTGTACAAATTTTCAAGCAGTAGAGACCTCTCTCATTTTCCGTGGATATTCAAGATAATTTTCGTCGAACACCCTACGATCAGATACGAAAACGAGTTTACCAGATCTTACCCGATCCTCGTCTTCCTCTTCACAAGTACTGCATAGAGGTATGTCCACTAGCCCCATAACATGGAGGTCTTTTCTTAGTTGACAGTGTCTAGTCAGAATTCCTACTGATAAGCGTAGGTTTTTCCTGGTCATCGCCAGATGTTTTTTCGGCGCCAGCTTCCCAGGGTCGCCCAGGGTGATTCTGGCAAGAATGCATCCTTTAATTTCATCCCTTCTCTTTGGGGATTTAGCATGGGTGAGACGTTTGGCTGGTTCCGAAATTGTCGAAGTCATCGGGCCGTAGGTGTCATTGCTGAAATTCTTAGTCCAGCCGCTTCCTTGGCTAAAGAGTCGGCAATGCTATTACCTTTACTAGTGTCGTGCCCTTTAATACACCTCAGGATAATGTTATTATCTATCAAAGATTTGGCCAAATCTTGGTAGCACTCTAGTACTAGCCCTTAGATAACACGTTGTCTATTCAAGGCTAATAGGACTTGTTTACTATCAGTGCAGATTGTTATGTTTTTTGTGACGATTGAAATACCAGCCAGTTTTGTTTGATTCACGCTGGTATTTTTCCCATTCCCCACTCAATCTTTGAGCTCAGTGATCTGGAGTAAACTCCACATCCTGAGCCTTCTTTGATTTTCGAGCCGTCTGTATATATGCGTATTGCATTTGTAGCATTTGACTCTGGTTTCTGTTTCATTTGTATTTTGTAGGGTTTATTAAACACAAACCTGAATTCAATTTCCGTCCTATATGTCTCATTCCCACGCTAGGCAAGCTAATAGAGAAACTAGTTAAATTAAGATTGACAATTTTTTTAAATAATAATAGTGTCATAGGCAACTACCAGTTCGGCTTTCAATCAAAAACGAACACGCATGATGCTATCTTTTCTTTGTTATATGACGTTTATAGAAATATCAATAGAAAAGAGTCATCAGCAGCAGTTTTCTGTGACTTTGCTAAAGCCTTTGACTGTGTAGATCATGGAATACTTCTAAAAAAACTATATCACTATGGCATGCGTGGAATTACTCACAAGTGGTTCGAAAAGTATCTCACAGGGAGAAGTCAGATTGTGAAAACCTCATCATCCTCATCAGAAGGCGGAATTGAAAATGGCGTACCACAAGGTTCAATACTGGGACAGATACTTTTCCTGCTATACATAAACGATTTAGCATCTATCGATATTATAGAAAAATTTACCTTATTCGCTGATGACACCACAATATTGTAGCGTGATGAAACTTCATGTAATCTCCACGAGAAAATAAGTGCAGATATAAAAAAATAAAAAAGTGGTGCGACTCTAATCTGCTGTCTTTCAATGTTTCCAAAACAAATTTAATATCATTCCGCTGCTTTATTGACAGCATTCCTTTACCAACACAGGACGCGGGCAGAATAATTGAAAACAGACGTAGTACTAAATTTTTGGGGGTGATAATTGAAATAAACTCAAATTCGTCGATCACTTTGTAACCCTCAATAAAAAGCTAGCTTCAGGGTGTTCTGCAGTGAGAATAACATATATGGATCTTGGTTTGTCTGCCGCTAAATCGGCTTATTTCTCACTTGTTGAGTCGCATTTAAGGTATTGAATTCCTTTCTGGGGAGTATATTGCAAAACTCAAATGCAGAGAGTGTTCATTATTCAGAAGAGGGCTATAAGATTCATGTGTAATGCCAAAATTTCGAGACTCCTGCAAACCCCTATTTGAATTACATAAAATCTTGACAGTTTTTGGAATCTTCATTTTGGAAACAGTATGTTTAATTAACAAACATAAATTGATATTTTACGGTTACACCAATTATTATGCCCTTCGTCAATCTAACGAACTAAGATTACCCATACCAGCCTCTACTCTAGTCGAAGACTCTATATATTATAATGGTCTCAAGATATTTAATCATTCACCTGACCATATTGAAATTTTAGAGGATAGCTGTGTATTTTGAAAATTAGTAAAAGACTTATTATGTAGTAGACCCTATTTAGCCTCAATTGACCCATCTCTACTTCGAGGTTTACACCAGCCGTGCGCAATCGTAACATGGTCATTAACGCAACTTCCTCAACGTACAAGTCCAGAGGGGTCAGACCAATAATTAATTCCATTGCCACGGTTGGTGTTGTTCTCATGGCTCTTGTGATGTTCAAACAAGCCAATCGCTGTAATTGATTTTTGGATGGCCGTTGCTTGTAGAACTTTCGGTCCCCATTCATATTTTCGTGACTTTCTGTGAAAAGTTTGTACCACTTTTTTTTGAAATCTGATTAAGAGTACAATCACCGTATGCCACTGTCAGCCTTTCACCAACAAACTAAACTTGCTATGCAGCTCAAACTGTGAACATATGTTCAAGACAAGTATACCAGTCCACGTACAAAATACCACGTTTGGGCATCTGTGTGATTTTTGTGTTTGTATTTTATACGAGACGTTTCGAAGATGATAAACATTATCAAAGACGCATCAACGGACGCTGTTCTATAGTTGATCCCACATCACGTACTGTAAGGACAACTGAAGCACTACGTCTTTCACCTCATCTCATTTGATAATGGCTACCTCATTTGTAGATGAAACGGTTATCCTAAACATCTGCGGACTACGGCTAATAAACTCCTAAAATAACTTTCTTCCCACCTGTGAAAGTTTACACTCTTTTTTTAACATTGTGCTGTTACAAAAAATATTTATAAATGCCCAAAGCCATATTCAACGATTTTTTGTCAGAAGTATCTCTATAGAAATTTCACGGTTTTCAGAAAATCTCAAATTTTAATTTCTGTACCAACTGTACAACTAACTGGGACAGGTATATTGCAAGTTTCGTCAACGATTTGAGGAGACGATTTGAGGCAGTTTCGAAATATCATCCAAAGGGAATTAATAAATTTTCATTTGAAATATTCAGCTTTTTTCAGTAAATATTTCAATTTTCTCTCCATATTCGATTGATTTTCGAAAGTTATCTTCATTTTGTGAAAGTGAAATCCCACAAATGTCAAGAAAGAGTGTTTCCTTGACTAATTTATTCGTCAGATATATTGCGACCAAAGACACTGCCTCATTTCCTTGTTGTTGATGATATTCCTATTCACAAGTGAAACTATTTGTTACTTATTCCAGATAAACTCCTTTGTGATATTTCCACTTCACAGTTTTACACAAATGAAACACGTGTTTCACCATATAATGGCTTCATCGGGCGTGTTTATACACGCCGAAGTTTATACACATATATACACGCTTGAAAAATCTATTGTATGGCGAAATACGTGTTTCCTTTTTCTGAAACTGTGTTGTTAAAATTTCACGATGGAGTGTTTGTAGAATACGTCATTTGTTTTCATCAAGTGTCAGCCGATTCTATCATATAAGATTCGTTGTTAATGATAATATCAGAAATATGCTTCAATCAACTCTTTACGAAATTGAAATACACAACTTTTAGTATTCAAACTCGATCATTTGAAACTCAAACTTCCGTTATCTCTTTCTGATAGTGGAATAAACTCCATTACTTCACTTAACTTTTAACTTGATAATTGAAAATACAGTCTTTGAAAAAGTTCTAACAAAATGTGTATTTTCAAGTTTCAATAGGAGCATCGTAATTCAGTTATTTTTCCGATATGGAAGTGGAAGATCTTTCCGTTATAAAAAGACTCGATTCAGATATGAATTTCATCGGAATTCTTTTCAATGCAAATATTCGATCTCGACCACATTCATATGTGATCGTATTGATATTCAGTAGACATAGAAGAGTATTCAATCGCTTTGTGGAAAGAAAATTGAAAGCCCTGCATTTTGTGAATTGGTTTGGTTGGACGTTATATTAAAATCGTGAGCTGATATTAAGTCTATGGTGATTACAATTTGTGTTATAGGTATCAACAGATGGTGCGGCTGCATCTTTTTAAATGATTTGTGCCTTTATGAGAGTTATTGATTTCAACGTTAGTTTAAAGGTGATTGACAATGTTTCATGATGAATTTCATTAGTTCGGACTTCTATTGTCTGATATTAAAAAAGAAGAATTAAAAAATGAATAGCTGAAAATAACACTCATATTAAGCGAAAATAACCAAAAACGAAGCAATAGTGAAATAAAATCCAAGTGAAAATAGAACAATTGAACAAAAAAAATGACGTTTCGATTGTTAGTATCCAC